CTGTCTCTAAGTGTAGCCCTGTGATAGACTGGTTACCTGTCCAGGTGAACCTGCCTTCACCCTGAGTCAGCTGGGATAGGCTCCGCCCCCCATGACCCTGGTGAGGATTAAGGTGTAGAGATGATGGATGGATGGAAGTAATTTTTCATGGGTAGGTGTGCAATTTCCAGATCTACCACTAGAGGCTGCAGTTCTCCTTTTCATGCTGAGCTCACCTGCTGGTGCTGCAGTGGGCGAAGGAAGGAGCTGAATGTGGTGGTGCTCAGGTCAGATCACCTTTTACTGTATGGCTGTTGCAGCTATCGTACAAAATGTGAACAATAAATAAATAAATGGTTCATGAAAGTGCATTTGTAAGCCAGTAGAATTATTTGTATACACAGATGTATGATATCCACCTGTATGGATTACCAGTATAGTATGTTGTAAACATTTATGGACGGTTTGAAATGAGCCTTTATAGTGTGAAGATATAAAACACAGGAGACGAGGAGGCTGCTGAGCTCCAGCATCCTTCAGCTGAGGAGTGTTTACATACCTCATGTCTGATGCTTCTTTATCCAACAAATGAAGAGAAAGTTACCTGTAGTTGAAAATGACATTTTCTAATGCCATGCCATGTTTTTGCTAAATGTGGACCTTGATGTACAGAACAAGTCTCACTGTAGTGATGCAACAGTTGGTTTTATTTTGCATAATTCCTGATTGTCCAACCTTGTCGGACTGATCTCACTCAGCAGGACGTCACATCAGCCAGTCCTTTACTGGATAGCTTGTCTTTCATTCCCTACTTTTCCTGCCAGTTAACATATTGAAGCGTCGAGTTAAATATTAACAGGGTCTAAAAGTCCTTCGGCCATCAGTGTTTTTAGCCTTCTGCACCGTTTATTGGAATGTCACTCATTAAACTCAGGAACTGTTCTCTGCAGGAGGACGGACAGTAACGTAAGGACCTCATCTGTTCTGCCTGTTCTAGTCTTTGTCATCATGTCAGGTGCTCTCTGTCTGTCTGTCTGTCTGTCTGTCTGTGTGACACTTGGAGTTTGAGGCAGGTGATTGTGTTGCCAGGAACCAGAATTGTTTTGTTCAGATTAGAGGGGAAGGCTGCGAGGTTCAGTACACTGGAGTGAAATATTTCTAACAGAGCAAGCTGCTCCATAGAATAAGTATGATGGCGGCTTACTGGGGAGAGTTGCTCCCTCCAAGCTGATGCCATGAACCTCAATAGAAAGCTGACAGTGAAGCCAGGACGTCACAGTACTCAACACTCCACTGAGTTTCATTTTCATTTATAAATCAGTGTAGGGCCACTGCTGGATTAACACACTTATGTCCTCGTTGTTTAACTCAAATCACCTCATCTGAAGAGCTCTCTGTGAACATGACCCCAGTCCTGGCCTTCATCGATACCTGCCCCCGTCTGCTGTTTGTCCATTTCATCTTTCAAGTGCTAATATAAACTAAGGGCCACGCTCCGGGCTGGGCTGAGCAAACAGGACAAAGGTGTGGCCGTGGCTGTTGATTATACTGAGGAATGGAGTGAGCGTGAGTCAGAGAGAAGACCGAGGGAGTGGAGGCCACACCAAGTCAGAGCGCTGAAGGAATTTGTGGAAGTTTCAAGGTAGGTGGAAGTGTAGTGGAAAAAGGTAGAATAGTTCGGGCTAATGACACAGGAGAAGATCAGATGTGAGCAGCTATGGATGCATTGTGAGGCGTGGAGCAGCTTTAATATCAGTTTATAGCTGGTGTGTGTTTAAAATTAGTATTCTTGATATACACTCATTTGTTTTTGTGTTGATTTTTGGGATCTAAATTTCAATAAACAAGTAGCTCCACCTAATTTTTAAGTTTTGTGTGTATTGGTTCAAACGAGGGCTGCAGGTGTCTCAGTGGTTAGCACCGTGGCCTCACAGCTAGAAGGTCGCCGGTTCACGTCCCGGTGAGGACACCCGGGATCTTCCTGCGTGGAGTCTCCATGTTCTCCCCGTGCAGCGTGGGTTCTCTCCGGGTTCTCCGGCTTCCTCCCACAGTCCAGAAACATGCTGAGGTTAATTGGTGATTGTAAATTGTCCGTAGGTGTGAATGTGAGTGTGCTTGGTTGTCTGTCTCTAAGTGTAGCCCTGTGATAGACTGGTTACCTGTCCAGGTGAACCTGCCTTCACCCTGAGTCAGCTGGGATAGACTCCATGTGACCCTAGTGAGGATGAAGGTGTAGAGATGATGGATGGATGGATAAAAGCTCTACTCTTTCCAGGTTTGATAGAGTCCCTGTCCAGACAGTGAGACCTCTTTGACGATGAGGAATAATCAGGTAAGACGATCTTCTTAAATGGTATCAGGTGCGGCATCAGGAATTATTTTCAGGTGTTTCTTGTCCTCTGTTGTAATAGTTTATTTTATAGTCTCAGTTTTCAGAAATTCTTGGTGATTTTTCTCAAGTAATGCAGAAGGACAATGTGATCACTGGGACAACAAATTGTGTGTTTGTTAATGTTCCTCTATCTCCAGGTAAACAGTCCCAGCTATGACAATGCAGGTTTCCATCACGAGGAAGGAAGACCCCCTCCATACTCCCCTCAGCCAGGAATGTACCCCCACCTCCCTCAGCAGACCTCCAGCCACGTTACCGTCAACACCCAGCTGACCTCAGCTCCCAGAACGCCTCCTCATACAGCACAACAGAGAGGTACGGGACGTTTGCTTTGCTCTAGATGAGGTAGTGGTGCGGGGATACGTAGATAGCTGAACAAAGGCTCTCAGGCAGCCATAGAGCAAATATCTGCTCAGGTGAAGGAAAACATGTTCCGTATTTCCACACAATCCTGAACTTATCTTTACTTCCACTTCATGTAGAAGTCAAGAGATGAATGTATAAACAGTGAATATACTCTGACTGGGTGTGACACAGCAGTAGATGGAGGTCAGTGACTGTTGGGAAGCGTTTGACAGACGTTGCCGTGTGCAGTAACAGAGCCTGTGTTGACTAGTTTTATGAGCATTTTCCGTCGTGCCGCTCTGCTCCTGTGCTACTGTTATATGATTTACAGAAGTAAGAGGCCATAATCATCACCTGTGCTCACGGTGGCTGCTATTCAAAGACAAGTAGGCCAATGAATTCACCTCAGAGACAATAATTTGCCGGAATAAAAGAAGTGTACACAAAGAAAACTACGGCCAGCTTCCCACTGTGACCATAAACGAGCATAAGATTAATCCCTACAATGGTAACTCGATAGAGCGTGTGCTGTGCGGGCTCTACGAAACTGTTGAGGCTGTTTAGCTCCGAGCGTACAAACAGTCACCCTTTTATACCTACTGGGTCGAATTCGTTTAGTGTTTACTGTCTGTATCACAGCTGTGCAACTGTCCTCTCTACAGCTTTAGATGCAGTTTATGAGCTTGACGGAGTCGTGATGATGTAAAGTTGTGCAACAACAAAGCAGCTGCGAGGCCTTTTGTGTTCTTAGGTTTGTGATGTAAGACTTCAGATCCTTTGTTTTGGTTGCATCTGACATTTGCGTGTGTGATACGACGTAGATTGTACAATTTGCATTTTGTTTTTGCATAATCAGGTTGAACACAAGTTCTGGTTTCTCCTCACAGGACCAAAGAGGTGCAGCTGTAAATACGCCATGTGTGTGTCTGTGTGCGTGCTGGTCGTCCTGGCCGTGGCCGCCCTCTTGCTCTGGTACTTCTGTGAGTTCATCTGAAGACCTTTGTAGATGCATAAGATGATTGTTGATCACCTGCGTGCTCGTTGGTGTGCCGTCTACAGCGGTGTATGTGTGTGTCTGCAGTGTACTACCAGTGTTTGCTGGGAAAGTCGTGTGGACCCGGTGGGAGGTGTCTGAGCCCCTCCCAGTGGTGTGATGGTGTCAGGGACTGCTCTGACGGAGAGGACGAAGCTCAGTGTTGTAAGACATTCAAATCAACGCTCACACACGGTCACATGCAGCTTCTGTGTTTGTCTGACTGCTGCTCTCTGCGCTTCACAGTCCGCCTCCACGGCGCCGACTTCCTGCTGCAGAGCTACTCGACGGACAGACGGAGCTGGATGCCCGTGTGTGCTGAGAACTGGGATGACGACTATGGGAGGGCTGTGTGTGAGCTGATCGGCTACAGGAGGTGCTCATCGTGCTCATTAGGACCAATCTGAACACGTTTCTGTAGAAACACACAAACACACAGCGAAAAGACAACATCAGCACATGTCCAATATTGTTCAAAATACATTTGAAACAGTAAAATCATATCCATACATGGCTGATACATACAACTGTGCTTGAAAGTTTGTGACCCTTTTTATAATAATGACCTGAAACATCTTCACACTTGTCCTCAAAGTAGATAAAGTTCCCCTCAATAAACAACTTAGATAAATATGACAGACGGCCATTGACCTATGGAGGACGATTGTTCAGTGTTACATATCTGTGAGCGGGAGAAGTCTGTGAAGCTTTGCTTTCAGTCTCTGGTGTGACCTGGTTGTGCTGCAATGCCTCCAATTCAAGGTTTCCAGTCGCTGCTGAAGCGTCCTGTCGAACAGTTCAGAGGAATCTGAATAAGATGGTGAGACGGCAGCACTGTGAAGCTGAGTGGAAGTGTAGGTAGATAGATACCTAAACTGCAGAATCGAAAGAGGACGAAGAGAAAAACTCTACGATTTTCAGAGTGTGCAGATTTCCACAGATGTTTGTTTTTAGCTCTAACCAGGAAGAACCGTGTTGCCTGGTCCAGTAACAGCTGAGGACCGTCAACTGCTCTTTGTCTTTGCGTCTCAGGCAGGATTACGTGACCTACAGCCAAATCAGCGCTGGTTCTCTGGACTCCGAAGGATACCTGAAGCTGAAGCCTGGAAGCAGCTCTGGATCACAAATAAAGTCGGACCTCGTTCACAGGTACAAACCCTCACACACCACTGCCCCATACAGCGATGATGGAAGGTCTTGTCTTGGCTTTAAGGTTCTGTCATCCTCTCCTTTGCAGCCTAATTTGTCCAGCCAGAGCGATCAAACTTCAATGTATTGGTAAGCTACTCTTTCATCTGGGACATAAGTGTGAGATATGTGCAAAGCCGTCCTGATGGCTAAATTCAGACACTGTGGGGCCTCCTCTGGATGAGGCGGGGGAAGCTTTGGAGGACAGGACTTTACCGAGAGTGAAAGTTTTTCCTTCTTTGACCTCTGAGAAAAGCCTTACATGAAGCTCCTCCATCCTCAGAATGTGGCGAGAGTTCAGCAGCTCCCAGCTCTCGTATCGTCGGCGGCACTGAGGCTGTGAACGGAGCCTGGCCGTGGCAGGTCAGCCTCCAGATTTTTGGCCGACACATCTGTGGAGGCTCCGTCATCAGCCCATACTGGATCCTGTCTGCTGCACACTGCTTCCAGGAGTAAGTCTTTACGCTTCACGTTCCTTCATCTGTTCTATACAAGCACAGTCTTCTGTTGCCCTCTGAACCCAAAAAACCTCCACCGTGTGTTTGTACTTTGTTTAAGAAAATCCCCAAACGTCCACAACTTCATCACAGCCAGAAACGAGACAGAATGAGCAGCTTCAGCTTCCAACTGCATTTTTGCCACCTTTAGCAAGGTGACATATCAGTCTAGACCTGAATATTGTGGGAAATGTGCCTGCTTTGGAGAAGATGTCAAAATATAAGAAGTAAAATATCTGTTGTATGTACAGCCACCATGTTTGTTTTGAGGTGGCTCAGTGGTTAGCACCGTGGCCTCTCAGCTAGAAGGTCGCCGGTTCACGTCCCGGTGAGGACACCCGGGATCTTCCTGCGTGGAGTCTCCATGTTCTCCCCGTGCAGCGTGGGTTCTCTCCGGGTTCTCCGGCTTCCTCCCACAGTCCAGAAACATGCTGAGGTTAATTGGTGATTGTAAATTGTCCGTAGGTGTGAATGTGAGTGAAGGTGTAGAGATGATGGATGGATGCTTTTTTCTGACTTGTGGCGTTCTAGCTTTGTGTTATGCACCACAGAGACTCCTGAGTCCTCCCTCCTTCTAGCCATGGCTGCTCTGTTTCCACATGTGCAGGACTTCCTGTTGCAGTGAAGACTGAGCCCACAGTGGGTCAAAACACTGGCTGGAGTTCAGAGGGTTGAAGTTCAGATTGTTTCCAACACGGCTCTGATTAGACTGGCTACTGTCTCATTACAAAGCTTATCTTGTGTGAGTCACATGTGTTGCCTGATAACAATGACGTACGTTTCCAGACAATCATCCGTTCTCTGAAGTTGTACTTTGCTACAGCAGCAATTCGTGCCGTGTACAGGTGTGAAGGTCACTGTGTCACTCACACTAACCGTCTGGTTTGCATGAGTCTGTCCCACAAATGTCCACGTGTGACGTGGAAGTCGTGGTGAACAGAAGGAGTTCCTCCTGCTCCTCCTACCACCGCTCTCACTCCTCACACTGTCAAGGACCATTTACCTCATTCATTCATTTCTTCTGTTTTTTACATTTCTTTCTCGTGATACTCAGAAAAACAATCGTGTGTTTTCTGTTTGTCTACTTTCATGTCTGTGAAGACTCTCAGTCCTCCAGCTCATGGCTCTTCTCCTGGATTAATGGTAGTAACTGGACCTGCTTGAGTTCCTTGTAGATGTTCCTCCTTCATCCAAGAGGCTTCATCAGCTCTGACTGACTAGTTGAGAGTTCCACATCCTGATATCCTGAAGGAGACACCTGAGTTTAGGTTTCAGTTGGGGGTTTGTTGCTCCTCCCCCTCGTTATGTGGGTCGTTAGTGCTCCTCCTGACACAGTGGGGTTCGTTAGGGTCTCTGTGGCTCGGTGTGGATGTGGGTTCATCGTCCTGGGGAGAGATCTGAGGACTGAGCTGTGAACAGGTGATGCCTCAGACCTCCACCTCTGATGAGGGACGGTCTGTCCAGTTAGATGGCTTCTTTCAGCCCTCTCTCAACCCATCTGTCCTCCCTGCAGGACAACATCTGTACGTTGTTGTCTTCAAATGGGTGTCCTTTGCCCTTAAGATGCAGGTGGACTGCTGAGTCTTACTTCCTGTGTTTTCCTTGGCAGGTACTCTGATCCTGATGTGTGGAGGGTAAAGTCTGGTGATGTGAGGTTGTCTCGGATGACTTCTGGTGGCAAAAGAGTTCACAGGATCATCAGTCATGAGCATTATGACACAGAAACCAGTGATAACGACATTGCTCTCCTGAAGCTCCTCTCACCTCTTACTTTTACGAGTAAGTCTTTCCCAGTTAAATCTATATTTAAGAAGCAGGATTATGTGGATGTGAGCTGTGGTTTCATATCATTCTAATGGTAACATGTTCGTGTCTCAGGAACAGTGAAACCAGTATGTCTCCCCAACTTTGGTTTGGACTTCTCAGCTGGCAGTCGAGCGTGGATCACGGGATGGGGAGCTCTCCGCTCAAATGGTGAGCCGGACTCTCAGTGAACAGTCCAACAGTCCAAGTGCAGTTTGAACCTGTGAAGTTTTCCAATCATTAGGAGTTAGCTGGTTGTTCAGGTTTCAAGTACAAGTAAGAGAACAGCTTTTGGTTCTGAGTTAACCGTGGCTGTGCCATCGTTCATCTGTCCCAGGGCCATCACCCGACACGCTGAATCAAGCCCAGGTGACCGTCTACAGCAGAGAGACCTGTAACGGCCCTCAGGTGTTAAATGGGCAGATCACCGAGTCCATGATCTGTGCAGGAAAGCTGCAGGGAGGAGTGGACAGCTGCCAGGTTAGTCTGAGGTCTTCTCTCTGCCGCTAACTCAGGGACGTACACAAACATGCACACAGTGACCGAGGACGCCTCTCTGTCCTGTGTGCTGCAGGGGGACAGCGGAGGACCCCTGGTGGCTAAAGCTGGAAACACTTGGTGGCTGGCAGGGGACACCAGCTGGGGGATTGGCTGTGCTTGGAAAAACAAGCCGGGGGTCTACGGCAATGTGACCTACTTCATGAACTGGATCTATGGACAAATGCAGGTACAGTATAGAGCAGTCCTCCGAAGGGAATAAAGGGAAATCTGCCAGTTTACATCATCATTTAGTCTATTTAAATGTCTGCTGCAACTTTGTAGAGCCCTCTTTAAAGCTCTCATACCCCGAGCAGTTTAGTTTTTAGGGATATATGACTGAGAGATGCAGAAATCTTCTGTTTTAGAGGCAAGAATTTGGTATTATTCGCCGTTTACCCCTGGAAAAAAAAAAGTTGCTTTTGTCTGTTGATTGACTAATCAATTAACTAATTGTTCTAGCTGTGGGTTTCTAAAATAATAAAATCTGCTTTTATTAGTCGCTCAGAATTAATGAAACATGTACCGCAGATTTCGTAATACAAGAGGGCAGCATTCAGAGCGTAAAACAACAGCAGCTGGCCTCAGCTCATAAATGCTCGTCCAGTGTTTCCTGAGTAGCAGCAGTCTGTGGTCCGGATATTATATGAGCTGAATGACGACATGAGAGTAGAAGCAGCACAGAGCTGAGTGACCGCTGACAGCCGTTTTTATATCAACCATCTGATCCAACATAAAACCGAAGAACGCGCTTTACTCTGTAAGAAAACTGCACACTGAATATCAGCTAAACGCTGTGATGCCGTAGAAGTGGGTCAACATCATAGAAGCTGTTAGCCAAAGCTAGTCCTGCTCCTTGTATTTCAAAACTTCCGTTTTGGTAAAGTATTAGTAGCTGACTTGTTACTTGTCTGTTGGCAGCAACGATTAAAGATTCCTGGTGTGTCAAAACCAAATTAGAGCCGATTAAAGCTCACAAAGCTAAAACAGGGAAGTAGCGATTACTGCTCCTGGCCTCTGAAATCCACAGGAATTTATTTGATCAAGGTCAATTTAAATTATACATTTAAATGTAATTTTTCCTTTTCTTTTTATCCTCCACAGAACAACTGACGGAGACATCTGTGTTCTGATGCTCTCACACAATTTGCACTTTGAATCTGAAGCTTCGAGGAAACTTACTGATCAGGAAGACAAAACAAAAGAAACCATTATTTTTATACGCTTGAATTTTAACATGCATTCAATGTGTGTGTATGAAGAAAATCAATCTATTTATTTGTTGGAATAAAGCTGATTGTATTTACAGAAAGACTCGGCTGACGTTGGCCTTTCATTGAGTCCTCCCGTCCAGGGCGGGACAGCAAACATCCACAGCTCACTCTGGGAACAGACTAAAGCCACAGTGACTCCTGTGTCCAGCGCTGGCTCTGGCTGCTCGGAGACGAGCCGCCAAGTCAGAGCCAACACATCCAATACTGACTGCAGCACACACCAGGGCGTTCCACCACAAATCCCTGTTCAGTAGCGATGTGAAGACATCAGTAGAACGTCTTATCAGGTGTTTCTGTTAATTATTGTTTTTTTTACAGCTTATTTCCAGGCATGCTGGAATTGCACTTTACTACCACAAAACTCAGATGCAGGTTACTGACAAGGCAATAAACGGTGACCATTAAGAGCCTGGAAGAAGTGATACCGACACATGACATTTCTGAGAAAGGTGTGTCTTTCCTGACACCGCTCCATGTCCTTGAACTATTTCCTCAGTGTGTTTCCATCACCTGTGTTTTCCTATTTTGATGTTTGTGAGCCCATCGCAAATTAAGCAGAGTGGAAGCTGATCAGAGGGCTGGACTGAGATCAGTGGCTTATCAGGTATGTTGAGCTGAAAGTCAGAGTTTTCAGCTTCAGGAAGTTGGTAACTGATGCCGTGGAGCTACGTCTCCATGGTAACTGATGCCGTGGAGCTACGTCTCCGTGGTAACTGATGCCATGGAGATAGGTCTCCGTGGTAACTGATGCCGTGGAGCTACGTCTCCATGGTAACTGATGCCGTGGAGCTAGGTCTCCATGGTAACTGATGCCGTGGAGCTAGGTCTCCATGGTAACTGATGCTGTGGAGCTAACCTGGTCGGGAGCAGTAATGTTCAGAGTTTCAGATTTAAATCGGCTGGAAGAGTTTGGTCCTTTCAACCAGACCGTGTCCTGGGGATTCTCTATGAGGGATCCAGATTCTCTGCTGAGGGAATGTGTTTTATCTGTAAACATGCTGAGTCGAGCCAAACGTAACTAAAACCACTGAATGAAGTCGTGGAGTTACAGCGTCACAAACTGTAAATATCGCGTTGCCATGGGAACCCAACATGCATTCATCTGGTGATACAGAAATCACATAAACATGTTGTAATGTTTGCTTCTGATCTGCTGTCAGGTCCGTTTCCTCTGCTGCTGCTGCAGCTGATAGAACAGATCAGAACATGGATCACTCTGCTGGTATTGATCTCAGAGAACATTCAGTCAGTAGCATTAATTTACTCTGATTGGGGCAGAAATGACAGTGGTATCCTGCATTATGGGACAGAGTCAGACCTAAATGTACTTTAATACAATATCATGCAAAGCCCATAAGCATGATTTCTTCATAAAATAGAAACTACATTTGTCAAGATGCTGCAAAACACAGCTGGTATATGAAACATAACAGCAGCGCTATCCTCCCTTATCGTTTGTAAATGTATTATTTTATAGGATAAATAAATGTTTGCAGTGGGAAAAAGCTCTCATTTAGCCTTTGCTTTTGATTATTTTTCTAGTTGTATACAATCATGAGTGTAACAGAAAGCTGTTGCACCACAGTCTCCATGTTGTTTTCACCTGCTTCCCCATGAGATGCTCCCTGAGTGATCCTTCCACCACATCGTCTTCATATCCTGGAGCTGGGAGGCGTCACATCTTCACATCTTGTGGTGTGAGTAGGTCTGACACTAGAGAGGAGAATATGTGAGAAGTTTCTCCTCTTAAGTGTGGTGCAACCTGATTTCTAAATCTGTCAGGGCTTTAAACGTCCCGTGGTGAGTGTCTGGCTGTAGGGTGGAGCTGAGTCCTGAGCCACCACGAGCTGCCGCCTCTCTCTGGACCAGCCTCAGCATGTATCTGCCCCGCGGCTCCGTCTAGTCAACCAGAGCTTCAGCTTGTTTGAGGAAAACATTCTTTGGCCACTTCAACTGTAGTTTGTCTCTTCCTAGTGTGTTTTCCTGCTAACTCAACTCCCCCAGTGTCCAAGGTTCAAGGCCGCCTGGTTGCTCAGCCTCCTCAGTCCAAAGCCCCAACTGGCTGCAGGCCTCCAGCTCAGACAGCCCAGTTCCAGTCAGTGAATCCACCGCTAACCTCAACTTTATGGGCATCAGTCATTCACCTTTTTCACCTGGTTCTGCTTCTGGCTTCTGTTTTGTGCACAAACATACACACAGTTTTATATTTTATATTAAGTATTAACAGGACTAGGAGGGGTGTGGGAAGTGCTTTTATTGAAGTTATTTTCATTTCATATGTTGGTAGCCGGGCTGCAGGTGTCTCGGTGGTTAGCACCTGACATCCTGCAAAGGGAAATGGAAGTCAAGAGGAACAATGACAAAGCGGTCAGTGACTGTCCAGGTGAAGGCAGGCTGAAGCTGACCATGATGCCACGAATACAGAAAATCATCAAGAGAACAAGTCTTCATTTGGTGAGTTGTCAGTTGGGGTCAGGGTCTTGAATTAATCACTGCATAAAGATGCAAACGTCCAGCTCTGAAGAAGCATGAGACTCTGCTCTCTCCTCAGCTGTTGGCCTGGACCATGATGACACCAGGTGACGTCTGAGAAAATGTATTTATGTAGTTTTTTCTTAGTAACTGCTTCCTTGACATCTCGCAGTTTCAAAAGGATGGAACAGAGACCAGGAACAAGTCCTTAGGAAGAAAGAGAAGATGATGGAAACAGATCCAGGACCAGACACCATTCATCCACCACAAGGTGAGTCCATGAAGTGAACTGGCTCTCAGATGTTCCATGTTAATGTGAGCATGTGCAGTTATGTAGCTCAGCTGTGATCTGTTGAAGGTTTTCTGAGGTGTTGCTCTCTTTAGAGTCTCTCCAGGACAGTCACTGGTTTGAACGATGAGCTGATCAGCTGTCAGCTATAAATGACTCACCAACTATTCTGTTAATCAAATAATTGGTTTGAGTAATTTCAAGGGGAAAAGTCTCCATTTTCTAACCGTAGCATATAAAATAAACAGAACACCAAAGAATGAACCTGGTGATCCACAGAGTAGCCCACAGGTTGATTAGCAGTGAAAATAACTGTTATTTGCAGCCCTAAATTAAAGGCAACGTTATCGTATTGTTTGTGACATTAAGGCTGTAATTAACATGATTTATGGAGTGGTTTCCATATGAAACAAAGAAAATGCATTTTACAGAATCAGTTCCAGCTGCAGATCTGGTTTAATGTGACGTTAGCTGGTGAAGGAGCCTGGATGCTTTATTTTGAACAATGAAGAGCTTAAACGCTGAAAACTGCAGCTTCCGGCCGAGGATCACTTTTTAGCGCAACACCGGCAAACCACCAGCAGGGGTCGCCACGAGCACAGAGACCGGCATGTGCACGCGACCACATGAAACGGAGACGGTGGAGGAGCGGCGGGAAAATCCGTTTTCAGTTTCTGTATTGGTTTGAACAAGTGTTGGTTGATGGTTTTAGTGGTTCAGAGCACACACGTGCTTCATGTACCTGGCTGATCAGACTCACACCTGAGGGCCCCAGTGTGGAGGTACAGGTAGCAGACACACCTGCTCACAGCACACAGGCTGCCTGATGGAGCACAAGGAGCAAAAGCACAGGTGTAGCTGATCACATTAATGATGGCTGTCCTTACATCACATGTGTGAAGCACCAGCGTGTCGCCGGGACGATGACGTGTCACCGGGACGTCCTCTGATGTGTTCACAGCCTCCCATTGAAGGAGAACAACAGCTTCAGGCACTGAAACAATCTGAATTTGACAAAAGCAATAATAAATAAAAATATACTGAACATCGTGACGTTGCTTTGAATCGTGGTTCAACAGAAATATTAAATCCAACCAGCCTGATGGGACCTGGTGGACTAGCATGTAGCTGAACAACCCTCTGAGCCAATCACTGCCATCAGGTGTTCCTGTAGCTCTCAGTCAGACTCCTGCACCTGTTGACAGGTGTTCTGGACCACTGCTCATCAGCAAAGGCCTCTCATTGGTCCACTGCTCATCAGCAAAGGCCTCTCATTGGTCCACTGCTCATCAGCAAAGGCCTCTCATTGGTCCAGGACACTTTTTTAAAAAAAATATTACTCTTTTTAACCAAAATTCAAAAACAACATCTTGTTTCACTAAATTATAATTTAGCACATTTTTATTTCTCATTCCTTTTCCAGTTTCTCGTTATTTGAGCGACTGTTTTTTCTTTGCTGAAGGGATGAAGACGTGATGTGATGCTAGCAGCAGCTGTACTTCATGTACCAAGTCAGAGGTTTTGCTGCTAAAAACGTCATTAGTTGAAGTTCTCCCATCTGACCGAGGTGCAAAGTGTGAAGGAGGTTTCGTGCATGGTCGTGTGTGTCGGGCCTTTAAACTGCACGGCTGCACAGTGAGCGCTGTCGCAACTGTTAAACTGAGTCTTAGCCAGATCGTTGCTAAAGCATTTGTATTAAAGCACTAAACATGAAAATATGAAGCTTGTTTCATGTTCTGTGTCAACAGCCGGTGAGGAGGAGGATTCAGGCCGCGGTCCATCAGGAAGAGACAAACTAGATCATGGACTGAAGGAAGCCGTGGAGTGGCTGCAGGATGACGTGCAGGTGATCCTGTTTGGAATAGTTCTAATGAAAACTGTTTTTCTCTGTTGAATTTTTAAACAAATCTTTCTACAATCTGGACACATTTACTGGCTGAACTAATGAGCACAAAGCTCCCATCAGCGTTTCTTTATGTGTTCTTTTATTTTAGTAAAGCCCCGTCTCCAACAGAAGTAACACCACGAATAGATTCTATAACAGACTGAAGGAATTAATGGTCCTAATAAGCAGACATCACACAGTTTATGCTAAGTACTAGTCTGCCATTGGTTAGCATCGTTAGTGCCTCACAGCTAGAAGGTCGCCGGTTGGCGTCCCGGTGAGGACACCCGGGATCTTCCTGCGTGGAGTCTCCATGTTCTCCCCGTGCAGCGTGGGTTCTCTCCGGGTTCTCCGGCTTCCTCCCACAGTCCAGAAACATGCTGAGGTTAATTGGTGATTGTAAATTGTCCGTAGGTGTGAATGTGAGTGTGCTTGGTTGTCTGTCTCTAAGTGTAGCCCTGTGATAGACTGGTTACCTGTCCAGGTGAACCTGCCTTCACCCTGAGTCAGCTGGGATAGACTCCGCCCCCCATGACCCTGGTGAGGATGAAGGTGTAGAGATGATGGATGGATGGATATACAATCATTACTCTCTCAAATTCTTGTTTTTGTTCCAGTGTGTAAGAAGTCTTGTTTGATCTCATCAGCATCAGTCTGATCGATGTCAGCGTGATGAAAGGCAGCAGCAGCTGTTAACACTGTATTTGGACTCCGTTTATAATGGACACATTTGATCCTGAATCATCCATCCATCATCTCTACACCCACGCTGCACAGGGAGAACATGGAGACTCCACGCAGAAAGATCCCGGGTGTCCTCACCGGGACGCCAGCCTCCGACCTTCTAGCTGTGAGGCGCTAACGATGCTAACCACTGAACCACCTGCAGCCCTCAGACTGTATATGTGCACTATGTTTTAACTGTAGAGCAGACTTCAACATTCAGTAAAACACCAAAGTGACCAGCGTGGTGTAGATCCGCTCTAATTAGAAGCAGATATATAAAACGTGGCCTGTTTCACCAGGACGATGTGAGGCTCTGCTTCCATCAGCAATAGCAACGGTTTGGTTGTGTTCATCGTACCATTTCCTTTAACTTTATTTATATTACAGTTGTACATTTTGGTCTGTTGTAATAAAAGCTCAGCGTCAGTGGGCTTTTATTTGGCAGTACTAGTAAATCACCAGCAGGTGGCAGCATTCTCTGTAGCCATCATGCATGCACTGAGGGAAAGTTTTCCATGATCACGTCAAACATCAACAGCGTCCTCACAGGATGTGGATTCAGAAGGCTTTCCTTTTCCACAGTGGCACCGACAGCATTTATACACTCGTATAGACCTGTGAAATCAGTGATTCACTGAGATGGTGAGAGAATCACGAGCAACTCAGAGTTTCATTCTGAAGACGACACGACGCAGGCTGGTGTCACTTTGATAGAAATGACTTTTTAAAGTTGAGCTGAAACTTTACATCTCAGCATCACGTGGTTTGGTCAACAAGGATCAACCACAGAGTGACGGCTGATCTCTGTCACACAGGCATCAGAAAATATCACGTCAGGCCGCCGCTACAGCTCACCTGGTTGAGCTGGCGTCCCAGGTGCAGGGCTACAGCTCACCTGGTTGAGCTGGCGTCCCAGGTGCAGGGCTACAGCTCACCTGGTTGAGCTGGTGTCCCAGGTGCAGGGCTACAGTCCCCATGTGGAGGTCATGAGTTCGAATCCCGCTCATGGTCCTTTCCCACACGTCCTCCTCCCCCACTTTCCTGTCTCTCTCTCTCTCTGCTCTATCCAATAAAGGCACAAAGGCTAAAAAAATACCTTAAAAAGAAAATATCATGTCACAAATTAGCAGCAGGAAAATGTAAAGCTGAGACGTATTATGTGCATCATGTTGTCGTTAGTTTTCTGTCAGTGTTTGTGTTCATAGTGAATCTACAGAAATGCTCTCGTAAGTCCTGTATTCACAAAATATCGTGTGTGTGTGTGTGTGTGTGTGTGTGTGTGTGTGTGTGTGTGTGTTATTGAATGAAAAATTCAAAATTCAAACACACATTACAGAGAAAGGGCTCTGTCTGAGCACCTCCAGCAGATATTGCAGAGTTTTTACAACAAAATGAATGAATGAAATAAGAATTATAAAAATAAAACCTGTGCATGATCATAGTTTTTCATCAGAAAGTTAAATAAATATAAAGCAGGCATGATGTGATGAACAGCTGATATCTTTCCTTTAATCATCTGGAGGCCACAGTGGGACTATTTCTGTTATAAACACTGTAAAAAATCATAAAAACCTGAACCAGTCTTACAAATTATGTTTTCAACAGAAACAGTCTAATGTGAAGTGTGTGTTTGATTTAGTCGTCCTGGTTCCAGGTGATCCCTGCTGGCAGGAAGCTGCCACCGGATCTGAACCGCGGCCTTCAGACTCCTGCACTTTACTGGTGTTTGCTTTTTAAATTAAATTACATTTTTCCCATAGTTTTTTCTGTCATATGCTAGTCTTGTTTTTGTGGTTGGTTTGTTTTGTGTATTTGATCAGAAGTTCTTGTTTCCACCACTGACGGTCATCAGATGCTGAGGAAGAGAGGATTGTTGTGAAGGCCTCATGTATGTATTTCTACGATAGTTAACAGTCACATTACTGAGTCTTTTATTTCTGGTTTTGATTCCCAAATACTAAATATTTGCTGGGCCACCTGGCTGAGCTGGCGACCCGTGTTCTGGTGCTGTAGTCCAGTAGACGCAGCGGTCGTGGGTTTGAATCCAGCCCATTCGCTGCAGGTCCTTCCCCCGTTCTTCTCCCCACTGTCCTGTCTCTGTCTCTATTGTCCTGTCAGATAAAAGCAAAAAGGCCAAAATAAAAATAACTCTAAAAGAAATTTGCTGAGAATCTGAAGCTCTTAACGGATAGCGGACTTGTAAACTTTTGCAGACGTCTCCTCTCGTCTCGTCGGTCTCTCTCCATCAGCTCGGCTGTCTAATCGCTGCTCATGGAGGTTGGCTCACTAGTTGGCAGATGCTCAATCCCAGAGCCTGCATCTGCTACCTGTTTGTACCAATTAACGGCCCATGATACGCCGCTGACACCTCTTCAATGGGTTAACAGATGCCACAATTAGCCACTCATTTGAATAGCTGCCTGCTTAGCGTGAGGACCCTTGTTGCATCATCTCCAACTGTGGGGACCGCCTTTCATCTATTTGCCTTTTTCTTGTTGCCTCTCAAATGAGGCGTGGGAAGGCCAGGGAACCCCGGTGTGCTGAGCAAACAGGCTTTTCAGCAGATCTCTAAATGAGCTCTCCAGACTCGCTGTTGCAGCTGAGCATGGCAACATGTACTGCAGGCCCTGGAAACAAGGGGGCGCTCTTCCATGTGCTCACATTGGAGCTGCTGCTCTTCTGTGCTGTTGTAAAAGGCCGGCGACCCGCGACCCGCCTGTGTGTTCAGGAATCACCAGTTCATCACCGTAGCCTGTTCTGGTCATTGTTCTACAACGTTCTGTCTACGTTTGGTGTTGCAGCACCGTCCCGATGGTTCAGGATGTAGGAAGAGTCTCCACTGGTGGCAGGGCTTCAGAAGGCCCAGTGCAACCTCATCGACATGAATTTAGTAAGTGCTGAAGGTCCGGTTCTGAAGCCACTTGTAGGTTTTAAAGCTGTGGAGCAAAGAGGTGATGAAACAGAAACAGAAGTGACTGAATTCCTCCTCGTTTGCTGCAGCGCGTCAACACGTCACTCACTTCAGTCAGATTGTTTCTGTTAAGCACAAAGCACAAAGTCATACAGCATCCCACCGACCCGGTTCTGATCTGACCCGGTTCTGGTCTCCTGCTGCCGTCATGTTGTGGTGAGACAGAAATATACCAACATGAGTTTAGCCATCATATAAAGGCTCATAAAGAGAATAGAGGAGCTTGAGGAGCTTCAAAAGACAATCAATGTGTTCATGTAAAGAGATGAATCTGTGGAAATAACATTAATTTTAACACATTAATGCACAAACAACAAAGTTATTCCTGATGAGATATGAACAATTCAAACTGGGGCTCATGAACACACTCTGGTGTTGTTTCGTGGTTCAGACAGTTTGAGAAGCGCTGACAGCAGCAGACGTGTTCGTCTGGTCCTTCTCATGACGTCTGATTTCTAAATACTCTGCTTTAAATAGTTTCTATTTTTTTTCAACAAAAACATTTAATTAAATATTCAAAAGTATTTTTAAAACGATATCTACTGTCTGTCTCACTCTTAGAAAGCTTCAATCGATCAATATGCAAATATTGTCCAGTCCAAGGGCAGAAACTCTCTCTTCAGTATTAGAGTGTATTTAGTATTAAAATGAGTTTTATTCTCAAAATGTTTGACCCTGTTTTCGTCTGAACGGTGTGCTGATTTCCTGTCAGAGATTTTGTTTTAGCAGAAGACGGCTTCATGTTCAGTACATTTAACTCAGTTGTCCTGCAGCACGATGAGCACGACACTCCTTCTTGTAAAAATAAAAATAAAAGAAGGTTAAATGGTAAATGTTAGAATTGGGCCATTTTTCCTAAACATGGTTTCATTTGTTTTACTTAAAAAAGTATAATTACACAAATGAAGTCTGAGTTTAGTGACCTGCAGTCCAAACATAGAAACACCGACCAGAGAGAAGATCAACATTTCAGCCTGTTCTTAATTAAGACCATAAAATCATGTATGTGCTGCTGTGAAAAGCATCCCGTCACTGGAGAGGAAGTGATGCTGACATGAAGTATGAACGGCGGCGTGACGTGGAACAACAAAGCCACAGCAGCACTGTTACTAGGGGCTAAGTGCTAATCTGGGCTGGAGAAGAAACTGAACACTCAGAGGATGTTTAACTAAAAAGAGGCTTACTGTTGTGATTCTGCCCCAGTTCTCACCAACACTTTGTCAGTGTGCATACGTGTGTGTGTGTGTGTGTGTGTGTATGTGTG